CCCCGTGTAAAATACCACAGGGTGATTTTCTCAGGTTGGGCAGGAAACACCCTGCCTCACGGAACTCAGAACTCAAGTAAACATATTGACAGAGGCTCCCCCCTCACTGAGAGCCAAAGTGAGGTACCCTGATGTCACAGCAGACTACTGTCCCCTGGCTCCAACCCCCACCTTAGAAAACCACACTGGCCTCCAGGCGGTTCCTGGAGCTCACCAGGCACATTCTTGCCCGGGCCTTTGCTGTTCCTTCTGCCTAGAACCCTGTGTTATCTGACTGCTGGTTCACTCCTTCAGATCTTGAGTCAAATATCACCGCTTCAGCCAGGCCTTTCCCTTACTACCCAGTGAAAGTTGCAAACATCCATCAGCAGCACACAGGCTCCACCAGGCACTGCCAGTCTCCTCCTCTGCTTTATTTCACAGCAGTTATCACTTTCTGACATACCACTCAGGACCCAAGCCATCCACACCCCACAGCTCACAGTAATGAACACAACTTACATTATCTTACATGAACTTACAGTAGCTCTCGTCAACAGGACGCTACCATCGGCCTATCTGCACTAACAGGGCTTCATTAACATGTCTCTATCATTCCAGGAAACTTTTGTCCAGGAACATAACAGCTACAAATAACGCTATTGTTTATTTCAGGAACATCCAAAACAACTCATTTAGACCGATCATCAATTTGAAGATCTAATCTAATTAATTCCAAGACTCTTTGAAACCATGCCCCTCTCCCCACAAACCCTCACCTTGTTGCGTCCACCAATCTGAAACCATTGCATCCCGTCTTTAGCCAATTCTAATGGAGCTCTCCCCTCACATTGAAAGACCCACCCTAAATCAGACTTCAAAATCTGTATTTGGACTTTGCCCTCTTCACCCAAGGCACTGATGAGTAGTCAAGGGAGTGTCTCCTGTATTTCCGTCAACAAGCTCAGTTTTACCAACATGTTTTCCAGGTGGTGTTTTCAGGCAGCTAGCATTCAGTGCTACCTATTTCACTTCATTTGTGGGGCTCTCTCCTCCAGAATTAAGTTCTATAAGAACAGGGCTTTTGTTCATTGTATTCATGATGTTTTCCCAGTGTCTAGAACAGTACTCATACATACTAAGCCCCCAAATATTTATTGAATGAGAAAAAGAAAAAATAAGATTAACGATCTCTCTCCCCTAAATGCTTTCCTCAAGGTCCATCAGTCTGGTTTCTCGATACCTGCTTAGATACAACTATATCATATCCTACTCTATATTCATAAGATTCAGCTAGGCTTACTAATGGTAAGACATCAAAACCGAGATCCTAGAATCTTACATTTGGTATCTCATTCATCAAATCTTCTGAGATTATAAATCTACTCTTGGCTATTTGAACTGGAGTAATCTCCCAAAAGTAGTGGGAATAAAGGCTGAATAAATAAAGGGACAAATAAAAAAATACACCTTTAAGAAAAATGTTACACAGGCAAAAGGCATTGTGTGGAAATGTAGCCGGAGAAGTAGCAATGAACATTTTTTGACAGGCTGCAAAATTTAAATTAGAATATTTTAATATATGTGTGCGTGTGTGTATATATATATATATATATATATA